AAAAAAAAAAAAAAAACCAATTCCATATTTTTCATTACATCAAAGAAATTATTAGTAGTCGAATTAATTTAATTTCCTCATAATTAATGCCCCTTTTAGCGAGAATGACAATGCATGCAGTTCATAGTGAGATCTTTAGCCGTGAAGAGAAATATACAATCGGAAATTCGTCGCAAAAGTATAAGTATAGGGTGGCAGAAGGGGGAGCACCTCCTTGCCGCCGCCGGTGACGCCGGAGACGGGCGAATCTGACGGTGAAGATGATTTAGAACAGTTGGCAATATTATCGGCGGTGATCGATAAGGGTATAAGGCGTTCCAGATCTCTCTCCATCTCTCTCGTTCTCATACTGTCTGTCTCTCTCGATCAAGCTATCAGTTGTAATGTCTCACTTTGTGCTGGCGTCAAATCTCATTATTCTACTAGAGTGAGTGAGTTCTGTTTAGGGAAAATTTGTTTGATATGTACTTTTTTTATACACTATTCCATAAAAATAAAAAAAAATAAAAATTCTTTTTTCATTTCATTTCTTTTTTTTTTTTGCCTAAACGATAGAAATAATATAAAAAGCACAAAGGTGCAAAAAGAACAAATTACAAGACCCCAACAGGATAATATCTAAGGCCCCAACAGGGTAATGAGACAGGGGTCAACGGCCCAAACCAAACACACCCTACTAAACAAACTGGAATAGAAGACTGAGAGGACACGCACATGGCGGCCTAGAGAACTCCACAAACGAAAATAAAGGATAATGAAAAACAGAACCACTGCACAATGCCAAGCCTGTAATTATCTCCGAACCAAAAACGAAAAACAAACTGAAAAAACTAAGAAAAGACAACCTACAAAGCAAACATGCCCAACAAAAACTACTAAAACTAAAACGACCCTCCCCCGAAGATCTGACAAACCCGAGCAAGCAGCTACAACCAACTTAAGGAAAGGCCCCTAGCCAAGTCCCAACCCCCGAAATTGCCGAAGGCCTAACAAAAGGCGGGACCCCGCCCCCGAACCAAACCCTAAGGTCGGAACCCACCAACCGGGGAGATCAAGCCCAACAGCCCCAACCAGATCGACCGAGGTCCGATTAACACCACTAGTCGGACCCAGATGAACGAGAACCCGAGCTTTCCAAGGGAATGGAAAAATCGGAAAAGCTGCCCCCAATTCAATCTCCCACTCCAGCGACCACCACGAACACACGGCGACCATCAGAGCCCCAAATCGACCACCACACAGCAACGCCCAGACAACACCACTACCACAGCCGGATCCGCATCCACCCGCCAAAGCCCAAAACCGAAACCCTAAACAAATCAACCATCCATTACCTCCCTTGAGCACAGCATCCGAACCAGTGAAGACCGGAGAAAATCTAAAACAGAACCCCGCAGCAACTTCGAGCAACGGACGCAGTAGAAACCGACTTGAAATTGCCTCTGGCACCTCACGCACCAACAAATGGGGGAAGACGCAGGGGACCAGCAGAGCGGTGAAATCGAAAGGGAACGCCGATGGGATCGATTGAGCGGCCAGCAGCGGCCGCGAAATCGGCCGCGCCGCCCTGGAGGAGGCCAAGGAAGACGAATAGTACGGTGCTCTGGTTTTGAGTTTTAGAGAGAGAGAGATACACGAGTTTTTGAAAAGATCCGACCCACACTCTCTTTTTTCATTTCACAACTCGCGAAACTATATGCTATATAAAAACAACATATCTAAATGAAGTACGAGATTTCTGTCTCATATATACTAACGCATATCCAAATCAGATCAGTAGTTAACAATTATCCAAAACACATACTCATATTTATTAATCGCATAGCTAAATCCACCGTATAATTTTTGTCATGCAAATTTATTTTGCATATATATTTATTGCATATCCAAATTGATTGACGAATATTTAACGATTATGTGACAAATTTTCTCATATTTTACGTCTTGCATATCCAAATCGGACGCATAGTTAACAAATATGTGAAACGCTTACGCATTATGCAATTGCGTATTCAAATCGAATGTCGCATATTTTATAATTATGCGACATATTGTTGCATAGTTTACGAATCACATATCCAAATCCATTGTATAATTTACCATATACGAGAACTTCTCGCATATTCTTTTATCGCATTACCAAATTAAACGTCGCATATTTTATGTTATGCGATATATTTTTGCATAGTTTATAACTCGCATATCCAAATCTATAGCGCCGCATAATTTACCATAAGCGAGAACTTTTCGCATATTCGAGAATCGCATATCCATATCGAACGTTGCATATTTTATGATTATGCGACAAAATTTTTGCATAGTTTATGACTCGCACATCTAAATCTATAACGCCGTATAGTTAACGATTATGCGTAATATGTTCGCATATTCAAGAATCGCACATCCAAATCGAAAGCCGCATAATTTAAGACTATCCACCATTTTTTGGTTGATCCATATCATGAATTGCACATCCAAACAAAATGTCTCACATATTATTCGGATAGTTTACGCATCGCACTGATTCTTATTATTCACATAAAGAACTTAGACAAACGACATTACACAAATGGCATGTACCTATATTAGTTATAGATGTACATATACCACTATTATTACTATTCATGAATTGTAAGATTTAATTGCTAACCTTTCACTTCTCGTAACAAAAAACAAATAAAAAAACATAGCAAGAAGATCCTTATATTTCGAACGCAGTAAAAAAAAACTTGGCATGTTTGCGAAAAAAAAATGAATATGATTTCACGCAAGCAGATTGCGATCCGTTTCCATGCCGTGGAATGGACTGAGGATGACGAAGATGCTTGCTACTAAGTGTTTTTGAAGAAGTGCCGTGAGAAGGTAGACATACACAGAACCCCTGTTTTCAATTTCTTGTGGCTAGAAATTGCACGTTTTTTGAACTTCACGATGAGTTATGCCTTGAAGAAGAAGTATTCTATTGCCTTCAGTGGCTCAGTCGATGAATTTTCAAGTTTTATGTTGATTCCAGGAGTCCGAGTGCGTGGTGATGCTGGCCTTGTTAGTGTTAACCACGTACTGGTTGTGGTATGCAAAAGACCATGGACCAGCTGCGATCGGTCTACGCTCAAGCTTCCTCGCACGTAGATCGTCTGCGGACCTACAAAAACTCTCACACCAGAGGGGTTTTCCCATGAAGAGCCTCCGATGCTTAAATGATTTCTTGTAGAAGACGGAATGCAGAAAATAGTGTATGGAATAATAGAGAATGTAATGTGATAATAGACATACCTTACTTCCTTATATAGGGAGGTGATACCTTGTTGCCCAAGACTACTAGAATGGGCTGCCCTAATTGCCCGAACTGCCCGATAGTACAACCTGAGCTGAAAGAACTGCCCGATCTACCCAATATTGTTAGGCCACATGACCCTATCCACATGTGGCTGTTAACCCCTTAAGATTCCTTCTTATTCCTTAGTCTTTCTTATACAACTGCCTAACGTGCGACCAACTCGATGTCCGCTGAGGTAGAACGTTACCTGCTCCAAGACCAAGTGTTGTCCTCTCTGGTCGATTGTACGACCAACCAAGCCAACATGTCGAGTTTCCAGTAGGACATTCGAGGGTTTAGCTCAACTCGTCGTTTCTTTCTTGTACCCTTGGTGTTGTCCTCCATCTGAAGACTTCTAGTCCTGCGTTAGTGGCGTTCTACAACTGACAATATTCTTGTTTTCCTGTTCGACTAACCGGTTCACTTGGTCAGGTCGGTCGGTTTATTTGGTCTGCTCTACCAGGGTCTGGTATCCCATATCATCTAGTCCCCCCACTCTAGTCAAGTTGGAATAAACTCGATTTAAGAGTAGATCTGCTCTCGAGTTTGGTTGATGCATTTCTAGCTTTTTGTTTTTCTGACCTGTCCGTCTGCAAACCCTTTGATTTGGTTGTACCATATTAGTTCGACCAACCGACATTTCTTTTTTTGGTCTTCTTTTCGGTCTTTATTTTGAATTTTACAATTCGAATTCCTGCCAAATTGTCAAATCCATTTATTTCGAGCACCAGGCTAACATCATCACTTTGTAAATCTTGTTGCCTCAAACGATGCGTCCATTAGATGTCTTCTTAAGGCCAACCGTTGGATTAGACTTTAATCCAACCATTCAAAAATCGTTGTCTCTTCACCCGGCCCCTTAGATGTCAGTCGTTAATGCTCACTTTAATCCAACGGTTCCTGATTGCCTGCCTTTTCACATTTGATTCCTCAGATCTTTGCCTTTGATCCTTTTCGAGATCCAATGGTCCACCTTAGGACGCTTTTTCCACTATTAAGCCAAATTCCAACTGTTGATACAAATTGCGATATAACTGCCAGAGTTGATCAATCCTTACCTTTCTTCGTCTATAAATACCCATAAGCTCGCA